GTACTTCATACATGTTTTTTAGAGTGCCTTTGAAATGGTTTCTAGTTTGAATACTAGAGAAACTGGTTCAGAAGTTTGAAATAATAGTATTATTCTGCCTAGAATTGATTAACGACAAGGAAAATAAGAGTAAAATTCTCCCCTGGGCGCTCTCTCAAAGGAGAATAGACCCCATTGTTTCATTTGGAACTGATAACCTGTAGCAATTTTGAACAAGTCAGACTTCCAAATTACCTCCTTAGATAACTCTGCGACTTTAACTGCTACTGATTTCTGTTCTTTCTTCCTGTGTACTGCTCTGTTGCCTCATTTTAACCTAGGTTTTCAGTAACAAATTCTCCCAGAGAGACTGGCAACAGTTAGGAGGTCTACTTCTGTTAGGGCTGAACAGAAATTGTAAGGATTATTCTGAGGTGGCCACTCAAATATACTGATTTAAACTCAGTGTCACTTTCACATAAATTTGTTACATCATCTAGCTTCTTTTGTATTTAATGCTTTCTTTCAATTTTCTACGAAGCCTATGATGCATTGTGGGCTAAAATTAAATGAAAAACAACTTCCAAAGTGTATGTAATCTCTCTGGATCTCCTCTAGAACATCAGCTGAGTTTGGATTTGACTTGTCGAGGCACTGGTTTTCACAATTAAAAGCTCCTGAAAGCTTGTGTGACATGAAAAAATACTCCTTTTTGCAGAGTGAATCCTGTATGATTCCTCAAACTGGAAGAACACCGAAAGTGTCTATTGGCATAACTTTTACAAATACAATCTCTTTAACTGTGGGTTTGTTCTACAAAGGACTACCATTGACAATGAAAAATAGCAATGTCATGAAGGTTCTCATGGTTTTCTAGACAAAAAGACCCCTAAGACACTGTGTCCATTTCCTCGAACTGTAAGAACACACACCTTTAGCCTTAATAGGTTGATGAAGCTTTTACAGCACAACAGAAACGAAAGTACACGTATGGATAGCCAGCTTAGGTTACAGCTTAGAAGAAGTAGTCTAACCTGAGTAAAGTGAACTGCAAGGCTGATCCTTACAACTAAAAAGCGGAAAGTTAAGAAGAAATTAGTGGGTGGGATTGATCACACAGTAAGTACTTACTCATTCCTTCACAGTCTGATACTTCTCGAAGTGTGTACTTAAAGCAAGACAGACAATAAATTATAACCTCTCCTACTCTCTTCTGAAAAGAAAGACTGAGCTCAAAACACATGACGTAGATGGTAGTCATGTCACAACGTATTTAAAATAGGTACTGCTGCATTGATAAGTTATTTTTTTAAATGTCCGAAGACCAGATTAAACTGCACATGATGCTATAGCAATAAAATCGTGAGTGATACTGAATGGTTAGATAATTCATCACCTAAAAGAATATTCGTGGGAAATCACATCCACGAACAAGGTAAATTAAAAAAAAAAAAGGCAATGAAGAAAGATTAAACCCATGAAGTTACATATAAAAATAAGAAAGACCAAGTCTCTACTGGATGACCAAAGGAAATAACGCTCATTTTCTCATCAGAGTTCAGAAGTAAGAAACAATCTGCTCCAAAAAACTACACTGCATGAAAAATAAAGGTGTTAGGGTATGGCATACCATGCACGTGCTACACTTTGTTGTTGTTGTTATTGTTTCTTCCTGCCCAAGACAGAACCCTATCAGGTACTGGGTTCTTGGCGAGTTTTGAATCTGTTTTTAGTGAACTGGAACAAGTTAGATAAAGTTGTTTATATGCTGTAAATCTACTTTCCCTGAGCCGAAAATGCGTTAGCTAATGGGTTGTTTATGAGTTGCAAATCTGTTCAGTGAGGTGAAAATTTGTCAGATAATGGGTTGTTTATGAATTCTAAATCAATATTCAGTGAGTTGGAACTATGTTAGATAATAGCTTGTGTATGGGTTGTAAATCTGTTTTCAGTGAACTGGAAACATGTTAGATAATGGGTTGTTTCTGGGTAGTAAATCTGTTCTCAGTGAGCTAAAAACATATTAGATAATGGGTTGCTCGTGAGTTGTAAATCTGTTTTTAGTGAACTGGAAACCTGTTTAATAAAGGGCTCTTTATGTATCTTAACTCTGTTTTTAGTGCGCACAAAAGTTCACGAATGTATTAGATTTGAGTGGCATATCTGATTTCAGTGAGGTAGAAATCCATCAGCTAATGGATTCTTTACAAGCAGATCTACATTCAGTGAACTAAAAATCTGGGACAATAGGATCTTGTATATAACATACTCCATTTTCTTTATTTGAGTCAAATACCGAGTAAAGGTTTGCATGATTTGCAGACTTCAACTTAATGAAGTAGAAATGCATTGTAGAATTGTTGGAACCACACTAGATATTTCCAATGTGGTTTTGAATCTCTTCTTAATAAAGTAAAACTTGCTACAGATGCGTACAAATACTTTTGGATGAAAAAAATGGCAAAATGAATGTCAAAGATGTTATTTTTTAATCCTACAATGAAATATTAGTACTAAAAATATTTCAGCTGGATTCCATCTAATAATTTTTGTGTAATCACATATAGTTAACATAGAAATAAGAAAATTTCTGAATTTTACATCTTCCAGTGAATGGAATCATTGGTGTCAGCCAGTCTTACCACTGCTTTTTCCTTTATAGATATCACTGTTAGTCAAATATTTCCATTTATCAAACAGCCTCATGGACTGTTTCCTGTTTACAGTAAGAGAAAAATCACATGCAGACTGTGGAAAGGAAGGCTATGTAGTACAAAAAAAGCAGTTTAAAATGAATGACAAAGAAAAGGGGTTTAAAACACATGACAGAGAACAAGAAACTACCATAGACTGGGATGTGATATCCCTTCTCATTTGCAATGAAAAAACAACTGAAGCATTTATAGAAAACAAACATCATTGTTCACAAATACATCCCAAGCATATACAGTAATTTTTTTTGCAAGGATAAAAAATTTCATCTGACATTCAATTATTCAGAATGCTGACTCTGCTAATGAAAAATGAAATCAGGCATATTCAAGTTATAAGTAGATACATTTCCTAACAATTTCTTAAAAGTATAATTCTCAACTACGCTTTATGGAATATCTTTAGCTCTTGTACAACAACCTATTACGATGTAACGAGGAATATTTTATTGTTCTTATAAAAAAAACAATTTGTATCCGCATCGGTGCTTCACCAGTAATTCTTTCTTCTCTTTTTCTGTTTTAAACATAAAATTTTCCAGTGGCTTTTCATGTAATGCTTTTTATCTTATTCTATAACACCAGAGTTAAAAAAGTGCTTGTATGTCACCAGCTGTTTATGTCTCTTGTATGGCTACCATCAACTCTGAATCCCTATGTTTGTGTGCCTTCCTAGGAGTGACGAGAACATCCTGACAACGTTGTTTAGTTTCTCTTTTACATATCTTACTATAGATGTCACTAATTCCTCTAAAATATGCACACATAAACACTCAAAGTTAAAAAAAAAAAGGCCTTGTGTCACATTTGAAAAATGCTTTTCCTTTCATTACTGATAAGTTTTCATGACCGCAAATACTTTCCAAGAAGCACAGTGCACAGGTTCCTAATGATACAATTATCCAATGGCAGTTGTAGAATACTATTTTGTCAGTTTGCAGCTATTTAACTTCTTTCTTTTATAAAAATATTCCCATTAACATGCAACAACAAAGGACGATACTTTCCAAGTCAAACGTACTTCCATTTTTCCTAATCACTTTCTTTGGTCTTGTTATCAAACTGACCCAAACCAATAGCTAAATGAAGCAAGGTCATAGGCAACATACATATGACATCAGAAATTCAGATGGAAATTATCCATAAGGAGCAAAAACCACACGACACTTCAGGCATTCTGGAAAACAGTTACCAAAAGGAAATGCAGCCTCCAAAAAAACCAGACAGTACTCAAAAACGTCAAGGAAGAGAAGAAACAATAAATATATGCATCTGATAACTGACTACAGATCAGTAAGGTTTATTGCATATTTGAGAATAATTAAATTGGAACAGAAATGAAAGACAGCAGAAGCCTTTAGAATTTAGATTTTTGTAGCATGGATTTTTGAGTGTTTAGTATTAAAGAAACATTTTTTACACATCTGCATTCAGATTTTTCTTGAATTCTAATTTTACCATGGCAAACCATGATAACTTTTTACGTACACCTTGTATTGAAGTTATGTTAGACTTCATTGATAAAGATTTCAGTGCCACATCCCCAGAAGATTTTATTGAGGTCTCAGCTGCAAAATATGTTTTTGGTCTTGTCCTGAAGATTTTGCTAATGATATTGGCATCAATTCCTTGACAGCAGTGTCAGGCTTCAAGTATTCAGAGGCTAAAAAAAGTGTGTCATACAACTTCTACTAGTATGGTGAATGAAGGCATAGCAGACATGTAAAGCTACTGAAGAAGCCTCTAATAAAACCAGACAATTTTGCAGGTTGGAATTTGCCTCCAATTATGATTGAGCACAAGTCACTTGGGCTCAGTACAAGAAGGGTGTGTCAACTGGGGAGACCGACCAGGATCCTAAGATTTCATCCTGAGGAATGGTTATGTCAGCAGAGGTATCTTACAGTACTTCACCCCTGCTAACTAGAATCACAGAGAAATAAACCACCCATAGGTTTGTGGGGTAAGGGGACTTTCATTTCCAAGTATTGCACAACGAGGTTTTGTTTCAACAGTAAAGCTGCTTAAAATCACAATAATATAAATTAAGGCTCGTTGTTATTAGTTCTCTTTTCAAGTAATATGCTTCACGCATCATGAGACTGTTATAAATTAACTTACTTTGAAGTCATAATTTTAAAGATAATGTTTAAATATACCTTATAGGGATAAATAATAATTGTGTTATATACTTAAGTACAATAAAACATTATTGACATTGTTTATAAAGTGAACTAATTATCAACTTTTCACTTAATAAAGTTCATTGAAATAAAATATGTATTTTGGGAAATATTTTTTCTTACTTACTTTCAATTAGCACTTTTCTGCCATCCCAGTTGTCTTTAATAACTTGTATATTTCCAAAGTGTGCATCACTGAAGAATATGCGATTTGTACCTTTTCCCTTCAGACTGTAGTCAAAAGCAAGAGCGATCACATTTTTGAAGTACTCTGGATTTTCATACGGCCTTACTGGTGAATTCAGGTTGGTTTCATCTGAAAGATGTATACTTTTTAATATTGTCCTTCCTGAGTACAACAGGTAACCTTCATGTCTCAGGCAAGTAATTCCATCTTCTGCAAGATAGCCATGTGCACAGGCACAGGTTCTCCGCGCGTTTCCCCGATAAAGGCAAAGTTGATGACATCCACCATCGTTCTTTGCACAAACATTCGTACCTATTAAAAAAAAAAATAAAATCTATCAGTTATAATATTACATTTAGCTAACTTAAACATAAATTTATGTATTCTAAGAATTCTTCTCTTAAAACTGTTTCTACAATATTCATGAGTAAAACAAAGGCCAAAAAAGTAAAGAATGTTACTTTAACCACGACCTAAAGACAATTGAAAAGAATACAATTAATGAGCAATCATAATTAATGCTCTTTCCAATTCACAAGATATGTTTCATTAACATAAAATGGGTTAATTCCTCCACAATCAGCTGAAGATTTAGTGTTTCAAGTGCTTTGAAATATTTATTTTATTTTTTTTAAAACACCTGTTACTGGAAGTAAAGTCAAATTTAGATACCAACAGAATACAGAACCGTTTTCAGACACTTTCTATCAAAATGAAAACATCTATATTGACGGGTACAAAACTGTGTCAATTCAGTTCCCTGCTTTTAATAAAGACATTTCCTAATATTTTATTCTTTCTTTAAAACCTGACTTTTAAAACTTACTCCCTGACAAATGCACACCATTAAGAAATCATTGTCAAATTACTAACTTCAGTGAATTAAACTACACTTATTGCAAGTAATATTTAAAATTACAGTAATTGTCAATAATTAGGAGCTATTTTCCATTGTCTTTTTTTGGAGTATGAATTAGTATTATAGTTAGTTTAGATAATTTAGTATCTGTTTCTGACAGCACTTTCCATATAACAAGTCAGCTCTTTCAGTATAGTCATTTTCTCATTTCTGAAAGTTTTCCACACAGTGAGGGAGAAGAAAACATTTTAAATAGACTGTTTTCAAGTAGAAAATCATAATAATTGTCGGGGAATATGTGTGTCTGAAAGTACAGTTGACTGTATTTTCTAACTGCTACATTGCAAGCTGAAGATACTTTTAAGAAAAAAAAAAAGGGAGACGAGAGTCAACTTGCTATTAAAATTAAAAACACTGAATTTTGTGTTCCTAGGCAAAATTAACTAAGACTCATTCCTCTATAGTTATGTAAAAACATTTGGGGATTTAGTTGTATACATTTTTACATTTGGTTTATTTTAAAGATTCTTTTAAAGTTTCATTAGGCTAGAAAAGTTAATATCTGTTTGGAAGGATGAGAGGTTGAGAAGAGAAAGGAAAAAAACACGAAACATATCCTCAAGCTTCTAAAATCTCTTTTTGAAAAAGTCAATGCTTCTACAGTTCACCAACTGTAAATATCTTACAAAAATGCCCAATTTTGAAACGGGTGTAGTTAGGGCATGTCCTCGCACACACGTAAAATAGCCCTGAAGGATGGGATCAGCTTGGGAATAGCACTGCAGGACTGGCTCATCAGAAAGGGTAAAACAGGTGTTTGAAAAAAAAACATTAATCACAATCAGCACAGGTGGTTGGGTTTTGTTTGGGGTTCTTTTTCCTGTGTTTTGAGTTCTTTTGTGTTTGTTTGGGGGGTTTGGGTTTTTTGTGTGTTAATAAAAGGTCAGGAAGCTGGCTAATTACATTTTTTTTTTTTAACAGCATTTACTATTTCTCCTTCAATGAACTTAAATATATATATATAATAGTGTGATATAGAAAAACATTCCAAAAACATTTTTCACCTGTTTTTTCCCTTTTGTCCTCCTGGCTCACTGACAGCCCCTCCCAAAGACATTAACCATTTGTACCCTAGTAAAATTTGAAAAATGTATTAAAAAATCATCCAGTTATGTTTTTCAAACTAACAACAAAAGATTTTTAGCCTCAGTAACTGTTTCTCCTATTCCTAATGCGATCAAGTCTTTAAAGCCATCAATAAAAATCATTACATGTAAAGAAGCATTGTTTTATCCCATCGCTCTATTTCCTAATTCTGTAACATGAAGCCCTTCCAAGCAAGCAGACATTAACTATTTCCAGCCTAGTTAAAAGAAACAATAAATTTGTGTGGATTTTTTTTCTAATCCACAAAATATGATGCCCAGAGTACTCTGAAATTACATGCAGAAATTCGTAGTAAAAATAATATTCATACACTTTCACAGTTGTTTTTTTTTGAAAACTATTTAAAATTCCCTTGAAAAAAAAAAGACAAGAGTATTTCTTATTGATTGTTAAATGTTTTCCTTGAAAAGGCAGATTTATTTTACACGTCATTTAATGCAGTTATTTAGGAAAGATGTATATAAAATAAAAAGGATTTTTGGATATGTAATGCTGTTGCTGCAGTAACTTTTGAGCACTACCAACATCAGAGGTACATTTGTATTAAAAGTTTTATCTTGTATTAATTACAGTAACATTTTTTCTCTCTTTTTTTGAATATCTTTATAGAAAATTTTGTCTGGATGGCCTGGCAGCAGTTTGTTGTGAAGAAATCATCATTTTTGGTAGAATTCTAACCACCTTTGCTCACTGAAACAAGTTTTTCAATATCTCTCTCTGTAAACCCAGAATTTTAGGAGAAAAAAGACGGCTAAAAGCAAGATTATTCTTAGTTAGGTAGTGGAGAATAAAATCTAACCATTGATATCATAAATCACAGAGAGTATATAATAACTTTTGACTCTTGAATTCGCTAAACAAATTTAATATAAATGAAATCCAATTATTTATAAGGTCTCTTCCCACATGACAAAACTGAGACTCAAACCCAAGTAATTTCAGGAAATAAATATTGGAGACACAGAGGCTGGGAATTTCTAGCTCTGAAAAAAATTCTGGTTTGCTTTCCAACAGAAATCTGAGACTGCCTGAGATTACTGCTCTTTAAAGCGCAGTTCAAAGGCCCCTATGATTCCTAAGGCTGTTGGTTTTGTTTTGTTTTTTTTTTAATAAAAACCAACAAAACCCAAACCCCACTAAATCTGGAATGACAGGAAGTGCTTTGGTTTTAGATTTTCTCCTTAAAATACTCAGAAGAATTTTAGTAAAATTCATACTATATTTTTCTTTAGTTCATTAATTTTAGCTGAAAAAAAATACTTCAAAAGTAAAAAGTGGAGATAAAATTAGTGATTGTTTAACTTTTGGTATGCTTTAATATACACAGAAAGTAGCAGATGATATTAAAACAATTAATAGCATCCTTAAGAACAGCCAACCTTTCTCTCGTGCTCTATTAAAGACTTTCACTTCCTTCAGGTTTATTCCAAGGCCAGTCCTCATGGTCACAGCATCCGTGGCCTCATTCTTGTGGCCTCTTCTAATAGAGCCATTTGCATGAGCTCTGCCAAAAAAGTTGAAGATGTCTCATCAACAATCCTCAACTAACACCAAACAAATGACTGAAGGGCAGTGGAGAGCTCACCTAACAGAAGGTGAAGAAGCCTGTTCTGATCCATGACACTGATATGTTTTAGCTTTCAGCATCAGAAAAGCCCTTTCTTTGGCAATGCGATCCATTCTGTGACCTTGCTAAGGAATGGCTAATGCTACAAAGGTGAAGCACCTGGCACTAGAATAACATTTTGAGACTTAAAATACTTATGAAAAATAAATTACCTGTCAGACCAGTAGATGTAAGCTCCAAACACCGCGACTGAAAACATATCCACATTGCTCCCTGACAGCACAATCTCCCGATTCCCTCCACTCTCAAGGTCAATTCTTTCTATCTTGTCGGTACGAGCATCACACCAATATAATTTATTTTCCTAAAGATTAATTTTAAAGGAAATGTCAACAGTCTTGTCCAAGTATTTAATTAAGAGTTATTAAGATCACATCAAAGTGGAAGACCAGCTGACTTTAATGAAACATAACAAATACTATACAATTTAACAGATACTAGAAGACAGAGGAACTAACCTCATAGTCGATGGAAATCCCATTAGGCCATGAAATCCCCAGGCTCACGAGAACAACCTTCTCAGACCCATCTAAGTGGGCCTTCCCTATGCAAGGAGTCTGTCCCCACTCTGTCCAAAACAAATACCTAAAGCGGTGTAGAAATTATCTATTAAAATTTAGCATCAAAATAAGAGCTGTAAATATATAATACTGTATTCAATTGGAAAATAAAAAAACAAACCACACAAACCACCATTACCATTAAATAGATATTCAAAAAATATTATAAGACTTGTGCCTCTAAAGCATCTTATAAGATTAAACATACCATAATACTTGTTTCACAGAACACTGCTGAGAGATTTTTTGCAAATGATATATATGAAGTAATTCTTAATAATATAATCGATCAGTCAATATGCAATTTTATTCTTTAAAGAATTCAGCTTTGTGCTTGGAAAAATAAAAGCAAATTAGGAAAAAAAAAAGACTGGAATAGAAGCTCTCAGATCTAATTAGTAACAAATGCTGTGATAACAAAAGAAACGTACGAATAACTTCCAAATGTTTTAAATACGAAGCAATGAGGAGCACTGTGGGAAATGGTAGAGCAAAGGGATTTTGTTTGGGAAGAAAATATTTTTCTTATTCCCCCTAATGCTCATGGGAAGAATCTGTATCTATCTTACTTAATTTTATATTAATGTGTACATACTGTCCTGGCTTTAGCTGGGACAGAGTTAGCTCTTCTTTTTAACAGCTAGAAGAGCTCCGTGTTTTGGTTTTACTCAGAGGCTCACTCTGAGAAGAATGCTGATAGCAAGCTGGTGTTTGTGGTTGGACGTGAAACTCCAAGGACTTTTCAGTGTGCCGGAGTGCAGAAACACGGCGGGATAAGGGGAGAGTATAGCTGGGACAAGGGGGACGCGATTCCCCTTGTGATTTGTGGTGGAACTTAAGACTGAGGGCCAAACTGGCCAATTAGCATTCCATATCACGCAGCGTCATGCCCAGTATAAAAGTGAGGGTCAGCCGGACAGAAGGGCTTTTGCGCTTTGGCTCTTTCGCCGCTTTTACTCTTTTGTGCTTGCTGCGCTTTTGCTCTACTGCCTTTTTTTCCCCTCTCTCTCCCAGTACTCCCACTCTCAGAGCACTGTCTCTCTCTCTCTCAGCCCCTCTCTATTGCGGTGCCTCACGTTCGTCCGGGATTGCAGCTTCGGGACGAGACGGGCTTTGCATACGAGGGGGTGGTGAGCATCTACACTGTGTATTAAAACATCAGTATTAAATTGCTCTTATCTCAACCCACGGGTATCCCATTTATCCTTTAATTCTCTCCCTCATTCCTGGGGCTGGGAGAGGGTGAGTCAATGACTGTGGAGGGGGCGGTTTAGTTGCTGGAGCGGCCTAATCCACAACACTTACTCATACAGTAGCATCACTATTTCGGGGTAAGATGCTAGGTCAAACTTCTGCCTTGATCTCCTGCTTCCCAATCTATTGCCTTAGTATAGCAAAGTGAGCCAGTTAATCTACAGAGAGCACTTCCTTTATTGAACAGTAACCTATGGAATATGTTTAAGTAAATGTCTACGTGTCTATAAACATATATATGTATGTGTATATTTTTGTATTAAAACGTATTATAAATACACAAATAAATATATATATTCTGAGCAAGAAATTTCCTTCTAAGATAACATAATTGAGGTCTAGCATATTACTGATCGCCTGAAGAGATGCATTTTCATAGGAAATATCCCTAAGCACACTAAAACATTGTTTAGTAACATGCTGTACACAGTGAACAAAACATACAAAATCGTTCTCCATCGTTTTTCTCTGTGTGGAATGTATGTATTGGACTGTTTTTAAAAACTACAGAAGTCTCCTGTGCATTACTAACCAGTCCTACCCCTGAGTCTGGTGATACCATTATATCAGTCTGTTGTTAAATAGCTATATTTAATTGGATGACTGCAGATACATGAAATAAAGATAAAAATGGGACAGAGGAGAACAAATACAGATCCTATAATTAGTTCATCAAATTTAGCTTCTGAAACAATGTCCCTTAATTTGGCTCTAACTGTAGGTCTTTCTGACTATAATAAAAAATGAATTTGTTCTCATACTTCTTGACATAACAAACAGTAATGAGAATACTAACCATAAAATTTATACTACATCAGGAAATTGAACTGTTACATTAGCTAAATTAAAAATACGTTTTAGAAATGTTAAAATAGACAGTATTAACCAGCTAGATATCACCAATCACTGCTTATGTTTAATACAACTTTAACCAGATTACTAACAGTACCTCTAAACAGAACGAAAATCGCTTTCAGGCATCTAGTCAGAGGTACTTTCTTAACACAGAACATCAACTAAACGTTGACTACAGAACGGCAGGCATTCAATATACTTGAATTAAACAATCTGTGTTCTTTCCTTAGACTAGTTATTCTGAGAAAAAAAAATTAATTAGAATCTATAATTAGCAGGTTAAATGAATGTAGACTCCTCCAAAGAAAATCCTGAATAGCTGCCAAAACAGTAAGGCAAGTTACTTAACACTCTTTTAGAGGATTAATGATTACAAATATATTGATACATAAACTTATATAAACTATTATCTAGTATAGAAAAACTTGATCTTCCCATAACTTCCCAAAAAAGTCTGGGAAGTACCACCTAAAATACTTGTTTCCTGGACCTCTGTAGGCAGTAGTATGCTACTGACACATGTGGCGTACATGCTGCAATAATAGAATCACTACAACTTGACTTGTTTTGGAACTATCTCACATATAATTTACACAGCTGACATGGAGATACAAGTGGCAGAAATTTGACACTGGCCCAGAATCAATTAAAAAAAAAAAAAAACTTCTTCAGAAAAAAATTGAATCAGAGTTTAAACTCCACGCCCCACACCCCTAAACACAAATGGAATTCCCAAAATGTGTTTGACGGAGATATTTTTGAAATCTAATAATTATTTCAGTACGAGCTTAACTTCATATTTCAACTATAATTCTGAGCTTGACTGGAAAGCTATCATTTAACTGGGGGGGAGGGAAGTCTGCCAAGTGTCTGTTATGCCAATAGGTACACCTGCGAGGGACACAGACACTCCTTTGTAGGACTACACATCCTTAACTTTTTCCTTAGTGACAATAAATAACGTTACCAACCAGCTGAGTGCTGGCTGCTTCATATCTTGGTATAAGTGGCAGGTTCAATGAGATCTAAATAACTGCTATTTTCCCCTCCATTCTTATAGTTGTCAACCGAAGCTTCAAGAGAAATGAAGAAAGTGAAGCCAGGGCAAGGGGTGGGAAGAATACCTTCCAAAGTTTTGTCTCGTAAAAGGAAAGAGATATGACAATAACACAGAGGGTAAAAAGGCCTTAATCTTCCCACAGAAAGGTAAACCTGTTCTTCTCTAGCAAAACATTGTTATCTTTCTGCTGAATAAAATTTGATTGGAGACGTCTCCAGGTTATCATTTTGTGGCATGCTTAAAAAAAGAGATGAAATATACCTACCTTCACAGAAGATATACCGTTCTACTAGACATGTAAACAAATTACTAATCTGTGCTCCTCTCATCCTCCTACGTTTTCTTAAGTACTCTAAACATATCCAAAAACTAACTGTAAAACTTAACAAGATCAAAACATCTACAGCATATTTCACAACGGAATTAATTTCTATGTTTAACATTTCACTTCTTTACTGTTTTTTGTTTCCAGTGCAATAATTTAAACTCTTTTTACCCACATTTTATTAAATATCTGCTTTTTGGTGGCATTACACTATTCTATTTTAAGACCTAAAAAGATGGTTCAGTGGCATTTCTACCTATCCATTAACTTCAAAGCAGGATTCTTTCTTTCCAAAGAACCTTGTTAATATTGTTGGCTATTATTTCATCTGCTTAATATTACTTAACGTTTTGGTAAAATGAAACCATGACCTGTTGAGTCAGAAAGCCTCACGCGAAAATATTGTCATTAAAATAAAAAAATCCACACTTTAGTAAAAAAGCAACAACTTTTCTTTCAATAGCAGTGCTGAATATTATTCTCTCAAGGGTTCTGCACTTATTCTTCCCTATAGCAATTATTAAACCTTGAATCTCAGCTATAATCTATCTTCCCTTTCCAAATACTGCAGAAAAGTTGATTACACTTTTCACCATGTCTAGTTGAAAATAATGGATTTTATTTATATAATTCATGTTATTTTAATACCTAATTATTCTCCAGAGAAACTATTTCTGCTACACTTAGTCCTCATAGACTTCATCAGGGCTTTTCCTTTCCTTTGACGTAAGTAAGGGGTGAAAACCTATCTCTATATACGCGTACAGCAAATACATTATATACACGCTGAGGAAAATTACATTGTAAATTAACTGTTGTTTTGATGAAGTTTGGTCTTCCGGTCAGAATAATTTTATCAAGCTTCTAAGTACTTACCTTCAAAAGTTTTTTAATTTTTTTTTTTTTAAACCCAACCTTTTCTAACAGAAGAGCACAGCTATTTTGGTACATTAAAGACAAAAATATAATAATTATTTCAGCCAGATCCTGACTAGGATCTGGAGAAGATCCTACTCCAAACAACAGCATTAACCCTAAACTGTTAGCAGATACTGCCAAGCAACCAGTGGTACTATATGAACATAGCTGTAATGATTTATACCAAAAGGTATTACACTTTGAAGAAAACAAAACCAGTTATTGCTTCCACTTTCATTCCTAAATACATTAAGTTGAAATGCTACAGTCTGCGAAATACACAGATCACTACATCTAAATTCTCATAGAAGAAATCATGGCAAAGATCCAAACAACATTTTGCATCACTGGTATCAATCTAGTCTCAGTAAGAAGTTGGAATTCTTCATCACTTTGGCTGCAAACTACTCCAAGTACAGACACTGCTTTCCTGAAAATAGTGAGATACTGCTTTGATTCAATCTGCAGGAAGTGAGTTACAGTGTCATCTCCGGCTTTGGAGGAAGGTAGTTGCTCAAATTCTTTAAGATTTTGATGCACACTGTTTAGCACCTTGTGTTAGCAGGGTAAGCGTAGCAGTTACATCCACTGAGTCTGGCTTATATGCCTTTTCCTCAGAAAGTACATTTTGTATTCCCATGAAAAAAAGATGAGAATTCTTTGTAGAATTTACTGCTTCTGTTTTAGTTGTAGCTCTGCTAACAGTGGTTTTGGAGCTGGAGGGGACAGAATGTTCTCTGTTTCTGTTAGTGCCGCAGTATAGTCCCTCCTCTCAACAAACAGTTGGATGAATATAGATGTCATTTTTGACGCTTCATCTCATAACTTTCAGCTCTATCCTTGGCTGCTGTAGTGGGATGTTGCATGATGCTAGAATTTATAACAACCAAGGATTACACTGTTCTACAATCTCATCATGACATCGAAGTCTTCAATAGCTAATGTGACTTCCTTGGATTTGCTGGAAACTTAAGAACAGATGTAAGCATGCTTCCAAGCAATGTCTAAACTTCAGTTGAAACGATTGTCTTAGAGAATGAAAACTATTTTGGAAAGAAAGTACAGTATGCCATGTACACACAGACTAACAAAAAACCTCAGTATATAAGAATAACGCTTCCTTCCAGCTGTACTTAGTTACAGTGCAATAGTTTATGACACAATCCCTTTGGGTTTTATTAAATGCTTATTTATTAGAATGAAGGCTTTGATTTACTTATTTAAGACCTTCACTGCTAGCATGCAAACTTTAAAAGAAATGCAAGTAGCCATGGTCGTGTTACCCTTTTTCTGGGTGTACCGCAATAGATCTTGGTTGGTCCAAACCTTGGGATATAATTACATATCGGAATGAGCCGTTGAGCCTGGCAACTTCGATTAAGTTGAAGCCATGATCCGTCCAATATATGTTACCTAGGAAAAAAACCTTGAAGTTACTGCAAAAAGAAAAGACTACTTGAAAAGTGTTTAAAACTTAAGTGCGTAAGTTAGGACCAGAAACTAACTCTGCTGTATTTTAACTTATATGTATATTATATTTGTAATTTCTAATCCTATTCAGCCTTGTGTTTTAAAGTATAACCTTGTATTCATGGTGTCACCATTGAGACTGTCCACTTCAGAAACAGTGTTCAAGATATTTATATATTTTTTCTGTGTGCAGTAAAACTTAAAAAAAGAGTGGCAGTATCTTCAAAGAAAATTATCTACAGATATTTAGAATATTAGAAACTAGAGCTGAAAGCAAACCAAATTATTTAATCTTGAGCTGAAGACACGTCAGCGTGCTGTCAGAAATCTCAACAATCTCTGAAGCAGGTTAAGACCTACCTGCTATCCAGTCCACTGCAATGCCTTCAACTCTTCCCAAGCCATTCGTAACAATGTCTTCTTTCCATGTTTGATCTCGTTTAGATCTGCTGATTTTGTTGAAACCCATGTCTGTCCAATAGATGGTATCGTTTCCTATGAAACATACCATAATGATTCTTTGATTAATTCAGTTACTTCACTCCAAGTATCTACATCATTAACTGGCAATTATAACTTTATTAATAGGTCTCAGAGTAAACAGAAGAATAGTATCACAGCTATCATCATTAATTTATCTTTTTTTTTTATTTTGAATTTAAAATAATTAAATCAGAATTCCAGGTTTTCTACTGGTTGTTTAGTAGGGCAAATATAACGGGATAGGACCATGGCAACAGATGGAAGCTATCCCTTTTAAAAAAATCACAATAAATATGTTGTCTACCCCCCCATTCGATGGGATAAATGTTTGCAAAACATATTATTTTGTTTATTAATCACCATTCCAAAACATTTAAGAGTGTGGAAAACTACAATATACAACTGCTTAAACAGTCTTTTCCTTCCTTCTGTAATGACAGAGACTGAATTTTGGCAGTGTAAACAAATTTAACTAGAACAAAAAAAGTGTGACATTTGAGAGCGATATGCCGAGAAAAGAATAAAAAATTGACTCTACCCACAATTCATCTTTAATTTTAAATGTCCTGACAAGCTCTCACTATGAGTCTTTTGTGGTGACTTAAGGCATTTCAGCTGTCTTGCCTGCCGTTCTGCTGCAGCCGGTTGTCCATAAGGTGGAAGAGAGGGACTACTATGTAGTCTTAGAGTACAAACCTATTTTCACTGACCATTTAAACTCATCAGCCAGGCTCAGAATTTGAAGTGGCCAAAGCAAGAGAGACGTGCACTCCTCTCTGTTGGCACAAAGTAACCTTGATAAAGAGATAGGGCAAAACAGTGATGATGTCCCTTAAGCAGAATTCTCTTTATTTCCATCGACAGAGGTCTGAGTTAAAAACACAGCCATGCTGCAGCCCACATCCTGGTTTCAAAGTCATCAGCTGGGGACCTCCTGAGTAAGCTATTTTGTCAGGGAAAGACATGGCTCAGAGATAAATAATATTTGTTCTTCACGTATTTTT